CGTGACTGATTTTTTTTTTTCAGTTTTTCCTGTTGCTCTTAAATCTTTTTAAAATTTTTTGAATCTCTTGATTTTTAAATTTTTATTGGAAAGGCAGATACAGAGAGGAGAGACAGAGAGGAAGATCTTCCGTCCGAGGATTCATTCCCCAAGTGAGCACAACAGCCGATGCTATGCCGATCCGAAGCCAGGAGCCCGGGTCTCCCACACGGGTGCAGGGTCCCAAAGCTTTGGCCCATCCTCGAATGCTTTCCCAGGCCACAGGCAGGGAGCTGGAAGGGAAGCGGGGCTGCTGGGATTAGAACCGGCAGCCATATGGGATCCCGGGCATGCAAGGTGAGGACCTTAACCACTGCGCCATTGCACCGGGCCCTGAATCTCTTGATTTTATAAGCTTAAAAGGAATTTTTCTGCTGATACTGTATGAAACTTTTTGACATTTAAACATAGAACATTTCTAGAGAATTTTGTTACATAAGTGTTAAATTGCCTCAGAGATACTGTGTTCCTTCATCACGTCTGATGGTTGATTAATTCAGCAGCTATTTAGTGAACATTTGCTGTCTGTTAGGTGTTATGCAGAGGTTTGGAGTAAAAGGCCTTTGACTTTCTGGAGTTTAGTATATAACCATTGTGAACTTCCTAATTTGGAGGAGACATTGGGTTCAGTGTATTTGTCCTGTTGGAAACTGCACCTTATCCTGGGAGTCAGGAGAGATTTCCACAAAGGAACATTTAAGTTGAGATGTTATGAAGAAATTTTAAAAATAGGTTTTTTAGATAAATAGAGCTTTTTTTTAAGATTCATTTTTTATTTTTATTGGAAAGGCGGATATACAGAGAAGAGAGACAGAGAGGAAGATCTTCCATCCGATGTTTCACTCCCCAAGTGAGCGCAATGGCCGATGCTTTGCCAATCCGAAGCCAGGATCCAGGAACTTCTTCCGGGTCTCCCACGCGGGTGCAGGGTCCCAAAGCTTTGGGCCGTCCCCGACTGCTTTCCCGGGCCACAGGGCAGGGAGCTAGATGGGAAGTGGGGCTGCCGGGATTAGAACTGGTGCCCACATGGGATCCCTGTGTGTTCAAGGCGAGGACCTTAACCACTGCGCCATTGCGCCAGGCCCATGTAAAGGACTCTTGCAGGAGCAGACATTTGGTGTGGCAGTTAAGCTCTTGGGACACTCACATCCCATATCAGAGTGCCTGGTATGAGTCTTGGCTCCGCTTCCTGTCCAGCTTCCTGCTGATGAGACTCAGGGACTTGGGTGCCTGCCATGTACATGAAATACCTGATTGTGTTAGAGATACCTGGCCCAGCCTTGGCTGATCTCAGCATTTGAGTAGTGGACTAGCAGGTGAAAGATCATCTATTTTTCAAATTAAAAAAAAAAAAAGAACTTTTAAAAAACAACTTATTGCTGCCTGTTGTGCCTGGCAGCCTGGGCAATGGGCTCATGGGGGCCTGGGAGTGCAAGTTTGCAGAAGCCTGGGTGATGGCGCCAACATTGACGTTCATGGACTTGGGGGTTCATGTGTAGACAGGCAGAGCATCCTGGAGTTTTCTCCATGAGCTTGATCCCAGGCGGAGTGGCAGGTGGAGGGGAGAGCCCTAGGTTAGCATGCTGGTCTGCTATGCTGGTGGACTGGGCTTAGGGAACTTTGAATGGGACTAGATCTTGGGTCTGTGGAGGGGTCAGGTCCTAGTCCAGCACACATGCCAGGAGCTTGTGACCTTAGTGGGTGGGCAAAGCTCCAGGTCAGCATACCACTCCACCAGAAGACTGGGCTTAGGAAGGCTGGACTGGGGAACCCATGCACTGCCAGGTTCAGGGACTGTGGATTGTTTGGGGAAGGGGGTGAGAGGATGTCTGGGAGGAAGAACCACTGAGGGAATATGTTGCCGGTGAGGAATAAATACTGGGACACTTCTATCAACAAGGTAGGCAAGTGAGGATGTTGAGACCAAGCATTTTGGAGGGTGAAAGCTGGAGAACCTTCATGGGTCAGACCAATGCACCAGCCCACGTGGGAGACCTGAGCTGGGCTCATTAGCATGGATCACTACCAATCACCACTCACCAACACACACTAACGCTAGGACTGGGGGCCTAGATCATAGCACCTGCCAGTGAGTCAGAATAGGGTAAGGGTAATATTAGGGTGGGACATGACACCAACTAGCACATGAGAAAACCAGGTCTTGGCACAGATTGTGTGGGAGGTATGTGGGCTCACTCCTGTGGAACTGCAATTTTCTCTAATTTGCTTAAGAGATGGGGTAGTGACAGGCCGAGCTAGGCATGACCATGAAACCCTCCAAAACTCATGGGTACTGTGGTTGGGAAGAGGCTGGGCTGGTCCAAGCTGCAGCACCCACAGGCACACCCAAGAATATGGTGTGGGACACAAGAACCACCAGCTGATGCAAAAACCAGGACAGAGGGGGGACACTGTACTGAATAAGGTCGTAATCCAGCACATGTGAGGTCTGGGTTTGTGAGTAGGTCTGGTGGGGGAAGTTGGGAAATTGCTCTGGTGGGATATAGCTCCTACTGGTGAGCATATGATTTAGGCCTGGGTATTGGTTAGCCCAGACAAGGTACGTTCACCCATTGGCAAGTGTGTGGGTTGTTTCTGGAGAGGGGTGGACCAAGCAGGGCTGGGCCAAACTTTAGCTCACTGGCATTTGCAGGAGTCAGGCTGCAGTGTGGGTCATACTGGGCTAGGCTATTATACCTAATGGTTTGCATGAGCTAGAAATGGGACAGACTGGTCAGGGGTAGGTTGTAGCACCTGCTAGTAAGAGTTGGGACTAGGGGCAGGCCAGGACAGGCCAGGCTGCAGCATCAGATGGTAAAGACCAAGATAGGAGATGGGCTATGCCAAGCTGGGTCAGAGCAGTCCTGTTTGGGGAGCTAAGCCGATGTACTGGCTGCGTTGTGGTGAACCCAAGAGCTGGAATGTAGGCGGTGATTTGGGCTAGATATGTCATGGATGAGTACTGGGTCTGGGGCATGCCAGACTGGGCTAGACTCAGCACCCACTGAACCACGTGAGAGCTATGTCTGGGCATGGACCAGGCATGGCTGGACTGTAGCACCCAACAGTAAGAATTGGAATGGGGGTGGGCTGGCTGGAAAATGCTGTTCTTCCTGCCAGAATAAGAGATGGACTAAGTTATGCTGGGCCTAGGACCCATCAGTGTGTGTGAGATCTGCTACTGGGAAGAGACCTGATAAAGGAGACTGGGAAACTCATTTGTTAGGTCACAGTCCCTGCAGGTGAATAGAAGAACCAAGGCTGGGAGTAGTCCCGACCAGGCCAGGTTATAGTACCTGGTGGCATATGTGTGGGTCAGCTACGGGGGCTGGCCAGGCTGGGCGAGTTCCTAACACCCATTGGCAAATCTGAGAACCAGGACAGGACAGGCCAGACCAGGCTGCAACACCAACCAGTTCACATTAGGGATGGGACTAGGGGCTGGCTGGGATGGGTTAGGTTGCAGCATGTACCAACATGAGCTGGAAATGGGTACAGACCAAGTTGGACCAGGCTACAACACCTCCTGACCAATGCTGAGGTGAGGTGAGCCATGCCTGAGTGGGCTGCAGCACCCACCAGAACATGTGAGACTTGCAGCAGGAGGTGGTGGAGTGTGAGCCCAGTAGGGGGGCTATGGAAGCTCCCCTGCTGGGGCACTGCTCATTTTGGTGAGCATGAAACTGGGACTGGGGGCAGACTAGGCCGGGCAGGACTACAGCACCTGTTGATATGCATGTGAACTGGGTTGGGGGAGAGCCAGGCTGGGCTAGGCGACTGTATTCACTGGAGCAGGTGTGAGTCAGAGTAAGGGCAGGCTGGTTGGGCTTTGCTGCAGCACCAGCTGGCAAGAGCTGGGACTGGGGGCAAGTCATGTCAAACTAGACTGTGGAACCAGCCCTACTATCCAGCCACACATGTTCTGTCCAGCCACCCCTGCCCCAGTCCTGGTTTTCTTGCTCTCCAGTGAGAGTGGTAACCCAAGAGGGAGGTTAACATGAATGTTTTTGAAACTGTGTGCCTATGCAGTTTTAAGTACTCACTAATTTCTTCCAATTGGAGTTATCTCCGTTATTTCTTAAATAATGATTAAGCACCAAGAGTGTCTTCTATTGGTAAGGATTTTGCTTGCCTTTTAGTTCATGAACCCATGGATGAATGCTACGTGTTTTCCTGTTTTATGCTTTGCTAGACCCAAGGGCAGAGAATAAGTGGATGTTAATGGAGTTCTCTTATAGCTGGGTCACTCATGCTTTGCACTTCTGTGTCATCTATCAAAGAGCACATGGTAATTTCATTTGAAATTTACCTTCAATTTGCTGATAATGCCGAATTTCCTTCAGTTTTGTTTTTGGTTTTCTTGAAAAGTGAAAAATTGAAAAACAGTTTACTCGTAAGAATTTGATAACCATTGGTTATTTACTCCCTTCTCAACTCTTACACCAGTGTCTTCAGTTGTCTGTGTAGTGCTTTAGAGATTTCTCACAGATCAGGAAAATGCAGCATCATAAAAAGAGACATGAAAAAAATGTAAAAAGAGGCATGACCTATGGGAATATCTTCTGTAAAATCAAACAGGATTGTTATTAAGAGAAGCAATGAGTTCTTATGATTAGACTGGGGTCATTTTGTAATTGTGTATAAAGGGGGAAGGGGTTCTGATTCCTTAGTTATCTGGGCCCCTGCATCTCTGGGACCGTCGTTGGCTCGCTGCAGGGAGCAGACTCCCCTGGAGTCTTATGTAAGGCTTGTTCATGCTTGCCAGGGGCTAAGACTTTAAACGCTTGGAACCTCTGTAAGCTATGGAAAAAGAGATTTTTAAAAACTAATGCTTTGTTCCAAAGAAGTCTTTGAATATATTTTTTACTATTGAGTCTGGAATAAAGGTAGAACCAACACAAAATTCTTTAAAATTGAATAAATTTGGCATGGTTATGATCGTTTAAAATTCTTTTTTTCAGGTCAATGAATGGTCATTGAAGATAAGAAAAGAAATGAGAGTTGTTGATAGGCAAATAAGAGGTAAATTATTATTTTATATGTTCTATTCTAAATGCTGTTGGCATATATTGCTTTTAGTTCATAAATTGCATTTATATATTGTAAAGCAACTTGTGCATATTCCTGTATTAATTACTTATAGCAATCTTAATTGCTTTCTGATTCTATAATTAGTATAAAAAGAGTTGATGAACTTTGTATTTTGAAGAGCAAAAGAAACCTCTCATTACTTATAAGAAATGTGTTATAGAACTCCTATAAGTTATACATGAAGGAATGCATTTTCTTTATTGCCATCTTATTGGTTTAACATGGTGGTAAGTTGAGGAAAATACATTTCTAAGTAAGGTTGATTTATTTTTTAGTATTACTTGAAGTTAATACTTAATTTGCAAAGAGACTTTAAAACTTCAGATTTTAACACTTTCATATTTGGAGAGGATTTTTTCAGTTTTCTGATTACATAAAGGATCTTTCGAAAAGTTGCAGGAAATCTGTATCATGAAAACCACACATGTATTTCAGGATTTTTTTCCTTTAATTTTTGAAATATTCTCATAAGCAGTGTGCTAAGTATGAAATCATGTTTGATTGTGGTTTTGACTTGCATTTTCTTAATGATCAATGCATTTTGATATTTTTATTGTGTGCTTGTTTGCCATCTATTTCTTTTGGAGAAATGTCTTTATGTCTTTTGGCTGTTTTAAAATTGGGTGTCTTTCTGTGGACAAGTTATACGCATTGTCAGCTTCCCTGCCTGCGATTCCCACATTCTGTGCTGATTGCCCTGGAGCCACACTTTGGGAAGCTGGCTCTGGTGGAGGCTCAGGAAGGTGCCTGTTGGTGGCATGGCACTGTCCTTCTTACCCAGCATTATCCAAGCCTATGGAGAAATTAGGAGCTATTCAACATCATGAACTCTTCCTACTTGTGTAGCAAAAAACCATTCAGTATCTTTTGCATCATCATCATCATCAAAGAAGAAAGCAAAGATAGAGCATGAAGATTAATTAGGCCAGAAACAATTCTGATCGTACCAGAAAAGCTCTGGAAGGTCTCAGCATAAGTTTGGCATTCTTGCTGAGGTGGTAAATTACATGAATACGCGTCATCAGGGAAGAGATCCACATTCCCGCACTGTGGCTGCACCTAGCCTTTAGAAGCGGAGGCATTAGCAGTCTGGTAATTGAATAGGTAGGTGCTGTGCCCTCAAGGCCAAAGGCAACTTGAAAGGAAAGGCAGCCCTCCTGAGGTTCTTAGATCAGTATGACTAGCAAGAATTAGCAATAATTCTTTCAGAAAACACAGAAGGACTGCCCCGTGCCCAGAAAGCCATCAAGGCTTCAGGGGATCACATACTTTATGCAGATTGCCTGATATCAAGAAAATACATGTGTTCAATGATGAGAATTGTCATTTTTCTGTGGGTGAAGAATTTTGTGAACTGTGGGGAAGTGTCACTGTGGATTGAATGGATGAAAATTAGTTTCCAAAGCAACGGTTTTCTTTCCATGAAAGGATTGGACCAAAGAAAGTGGCTCCCATTCAGTGAAGGAAAAAGTGCATTTCTCAGGAAAAGCAACTCTTTAAAACTCGCAGAAAACACTTGGCCAGAGTGTTGAAGGATTCCTCTGACATTATTCCTGGCAAGTAGGGACAGTGTGTCTTGAGGCTTTACAAATACAAAATCAAGATCTTTTTCTTCGATTCTTGGCTTTGAGAGCTCTCTTCCATTCCACTTCTGAGGTCTGAGGAGAGGAGCAGCTCAGTTCAGACAGTGCAAGTTCCCAATATCAAATTCAGGCTCACTGAGTAGACTGCAGAGAAAGGCGATACGCCCTGTAATCTTTGATTACGTCTTGGCAGAAAGACACTTAGCAAACATGGAGGTGACTTGCTGTTTGTCTCTGCCTCTGAATGGTTCCTGGTTCTGCTTTTTTCTTAAGTTTAGATGAAATTAGCAGATAGTCTTAAATGCAGCATTTGTTTATTCCAAAAATTTTTATAATAAAATTGCAGAAGAGTTTTTAAAATACTAGAATGGCCAGAGAAGTGTGTGCCTTGGGTTTCAGGCTGTGTGTCTGGGGCATTGTGAAAAATGAACTCTGCATCACTGCGTGCTGAGCCTGTGACTCTCACACTCAGAACACAAGGTGTTGCTCTGATTAGCAAGCCAAATAATAAAGATGCACCAAGTAAAATACTAGCAAACCAAATTAGTCAACATATTAAATTGATCATACAGGGACAGACTTTTAACCTAAGTGTTAAGATGCTTATGTTTTACATTGCAGTGCCTTTTTTTTTTTTTAAGACAGAGTTAAGGAGAAAGATAAAGAAATATAGAGAAAGAAAGAGAAATCTTATACACTGGTTCACTCACCAAGTGACTACAATGGCTGGAGTGGGCCAGGTCTAAGCCAGGAGTTAGAAGCTTATTCCAGGTCTCCCACATGAGTACAGGGACCCTAGCACTTGGACCATATTCTGCTGCCTTCCCTGGTGCATTGGCAGGGCATTGCATTGGAAGCAGAGCAGCTGACTTGCTAACTGGCACCCACACGAGATCCCAGCATCACAAATGGCATCTTGTCCTGCTACAGCAGAATGCTTGCCCTGGTACTTGCTCTTAATACCTTATTCCGGCCCCTGATTCCAGCTTGGTAATATTGCCTGCTCTGGTAGGCAACAGTGATGACTCAAATAATTGGATTCCTGCCACACATATTGTTAGGTCCAAAAGATCCCCGAACCACAGACAGACAAGTTCCACATGCAGCAATGCAAAAGCAAAGAAATTTTATTGCTAGCTCGAGCTAGGGTCCATGACTCATCCAATGTGGTGGAGTCTTGACAAGGACCTCCCCTTGTCTCTTGCAGACCGTTTTTATCCCCTCTTAGTCAGGTATCACACATCTCCAGCAAACTGTGCAGTCCTTATCTTGGTCACATATAACTCATACAGGTGTAGGCCACATTCCCATGCAACCTGTACCGGTGCAGACCACATTCCACTTGTGGACGTGCGGATGCCCAATTGGCCCATCTCCAAGGTCATTCCTTCCTGCCCACTCCATTGCTCTGAGGAAAAAGGGGACTTTGAAGTGCAGTGAAACTTCTATTCCCCAACCTTGGGCCTATTATGGCGTGGTCCTGTTCTTTATGCAGCAAAGCCAAGCAATGATTACAGAAGCCAAATATAGTGGTTATGTTAACAGTTTAAGAAACTCCCTATCACTACTTAGCACTCTTGTATTCCTACTATTGTTATATATTTAACTAGTCTCACCTCTAGACACTAATTTACTATTTATCCCTAACAGCCTTTTAACACTACTGTTGTTAAAACTAAATCCCTGCCAACCAGCCTTGCACCCCCAACTCCACAGTATGAGAAATGTGGAAGATATTCTCTGCTTTAGCCTGTTGCTGGTACTTAGGGAATAAACCAGCAGATGGGAGGTCAGACTATGTATCTCTCTCTGTTATATAAAATTTTTAAAGTTTTAAAGGAATTATCTATATATTAGTTGCATTCTATATAGTGACAGATTTATCTTAGAGTACAAGAATGATTTAACATGTCAAAAATGATCTGTGTGAAAAATGATTAATTAATCAGTGTAATACAGAATGAAGAGGGGGACAAAAAACATTGATCATCTGAACCAATGCTGGCATGACAAAAACACTTAACAGACAGGTAATAGAAGGAAATGACCTTGACACAATCAGAGCTTAGACAAGAAAAAAGAAATGAAAGGCACACAAACCGAAAAGAAGTGAAATGATTTCTGTAGATTTCATATTTCTAAAACCTGGAAAATTCAACAGAAATGGTTAGAACTAATAAACATAAAAATGGAAAGATAAAAGAAAATGCATAAATATCAGTTCTATTTTTATATTCTAACAATGGACATTCTGAAAAGAAAAATTTTAACTTGTGTTAATTATACCATTCAAAAAATTAGCAATTAGCCAAGGAGGTAAAAGACTTACACACCAGGAAGGAGTGGGATGAGCCCCTGCTAAAGGAAAAGAAATTTCTCATCCAAGAATATCATATCAAGCGAACCTATCAAAACATGAAGAGATAGATAAACAGAAACTGACAAACTTTCTCACCACCAGACTTGTCTTAAGAAAGAGGCATTTATTTGAAAGAGATGCTGACAGGTCAGAAAGAAATATCAGAAAATAGAAAACTCACTGGTAATAACATGTAAAGATTCTGAATACTGTTGTAAACATGACTTACTGTGATTAGAAATAATTATAATTACTAAATTAAAATAAGAGGCAAGCAATACAGCAAGAGGTCAAATGTAACATCAAATATTCAAAATCTGGGGAGGAATGGTACATAAGTGTGGGTGCTTTATTAGGATTTCTTATTTACTTTTTTTCTCTTTCTGGCATAATCAGTGTTGAGTCATTAGGGCTTCAGGATAGTGTGCTATATTAAGGAGGAAATTTGTATGGGCTTCATGGTAACCACAAAGAAAAGGCTTGTAATAGACTTATCAAAAATAATAAGGAATCAAAATAATCAATAAAGAAAACCACTGGACCATAAATGGAGATTGTAAGGACGAAAGAAAAAAAAAGGCCTATTGTCAAACTAGAAAATGAGTATAAAAATGGCAGTAGTAGTGCCTTTTCAATAACTGCTTCAAAGATCAAGGACTAAATTTTCCAACTGACAGAGTGACCAATGGATTAGAAAACATGACCCAAAGAAAATCCTGCTTACAATAAACTCACTTTGCCTCCAAGGACACACCTAAACTACAAACAAAAATCTGAAATAATATACTCAGTGCAGCCATAGCCATACTTCTATCAGGCAAGAGATTGTAAATCAAAAACAGACCAGGAAAGTTGTCAGTAATAAAGTGTTCAGTTGAATCAGAAAGTACACTTAAGAATATTGAAGTACACAGATACGTAAAGCACATATCAGTAGATCTGCATGGGAAAATATTTAATACAGTGGTGTTGGGGACTTTGATTGTTTCGGTTTCAGAAATGGATGGATCATCCAGAGAAAAACAACACAGAGCAAGATTAAATTGCTTACTGAGGCAGTTGTACCTAACAGAGAGCTACAGAATTTTCACCCGAGGGCTGCAGAATATACATCCTCTTTGTAGCACGAGAGCATGTTCTCCAGGATAAAGTCGCAAAACTAGTCTCAGCACATTTAGAAGAATGGAAACCATCCAGTTGTGTTTTCTGAACATAATGTAAGGAAGCTAGACATCAGTAATAAGAAAAGCTATGAAAATTATGCAAATACACAGGAATTAAACAGGTTAATCCTGAACAGCCAGTGGAGCAAAGGAGAATTCAGGTAGAAATTTTATAAGTTTCTGAGTAAATGAAAATGACAACACTAAAACCTGTGAGATATAGTGAAAGCAATACTAAGAAAAGTTTACAGTGGTCAATGCCTGCAGCAGAAAAGGAGAGAGATCTTTAATCCACAGCTATTCGTGTGCTTCAGAATGCTGCAAAAGAAATTAGGTCTAAAATTGGTATAAAGAAATAATTTTAAAAGCATGATAAATGAAAATTAAAATGCGAAAATTCAACATAAAGAGCTGGTTCCCTGAAAAACATAAGCAAAATTGATAAATTTTTTGCTAAATAAAAAAATTTCAAATATATAGAATTAGAAATGAAAATGGAAACATCGCAGCTGAAACCATAGAAATAAAAAGGATTAGAAGACCTCAACAAACCAACATGAGCAACAAGATTAAATCAACAACCAAAAATCTCAGAGAAAAACCCCAGACTAGATGACTGGCCAAACTATCTTTTATTATTGTGATTTTAAAGATTTATAAAAATAAAAGAGAGAGTAGGAACAGAGACAGAGAAGAAAGGAAGGGAAAGAGGAAAGATTTTCCATCTGCTGGTTTTCTCCTCAAATGGCTGCCAAGATTAGAAGCCCGTAACACCAACTGGATCTGCTATGTGGGAGGCGGTGGCCCAAGTGCTTGGACCCCCTTTGCCCTCCCAGTCACAGCTGCGGGACAGCTAGATAGGAAGTGAGGTGGCTGGGTCTCTTCCTGGGGCCCATATAGGAAGCTGGTGTTGTAACCTGTGTCACAACACTGGTTTCTTTACCAGACTTTTAAAGCAGAATTAACATTAGTTCTTATTTTCAAAAAACAAAAAGAGGATGGAATTCTTCTAAATTCATTCCCTTAGGCCAGCATTATCTTGGTACCAAAACCAGGCAAGTTTACAACCGAAGAAGGCTACAGACCAGTGTTCTTGAATATAGATGCAAAAATCCACAATAAAATAATTAGCAAGTCAAATCCAACAGCACATTAAAAAGAATATTCACATCATCAAGTGGGATTCTTCTCAGAATGTAATGATGATTCAACACATATAAATCAATAAATTTATATCGACTAAATGAAGGGCAAAAATCATATGATCGCCTCAGTGATGTTTTGAAGTTCAAGTGTAATAGCATTAAACTTTTCCTTTTACTCCTAAACTGTTGTAATGGTGTTTCTGGAAATAACATCACATTATTTTCATTTTGTTATTTTTATTTCATTTGTATTCAATGTTTTCCACTGTGATAGGTTTAGATTGCAATAAGAACAGATTTGAGTGGCAGAAGCCTGATTTACCCTTTTTGGTGCTGTGATCTAAATTTAGACATACAAAGAGAAGAGGAAAAAGTGAAGCGGTCTGTGAAAGATGCTGCCAAGAAGGGCCAGAAGGATGTCTGTGTGGTTCTGGCCAAGGAGATGATCCGGTCCAGGAAGGCTGTGAGCAAGCTGCACGCCTCCAAAGCCCATATGAACTCGGTGCTCATGGGGATGAAGAACCAGCTCGGTAAGGGGGCAGGGACCTCGCCGTCGCCTGTGATGCCATTGCGATTACCCACATAGGTGTTCCTGGGCAGGAAAGCAGACGCTTCTGGATTTATTCTTTATGTTGTCTGGTTTGGTATGTTGTACTAATGCAAAATACAATTTTCAGTTATTATGAAGTATGGTTTTGTTTCCTTTACCAGTGTTTTTGAAGTAATGACAGAATCTGTGCATAGATTTGCTAGTTTAGAAGTCACGACACTATGGATAATGCGCACAGTTTTACTGAGTGTCTTAATTGGGTTGTAGGAGCAAAGGTTGGTCTGTAGATTTGCAGAGGAGCTAAGGAAGAGGGTTTGCTAGCTTTGAAGTCCAGAGCAGCACAAGGTACAACTTTAAAATAGATTGCCCGCTTTTCTGCCCCCTCTCTGCTTCATGTATCCTCACATCCTAGGACTGTATCATGTGTGTTTTGTGTACACGTGAACTGTTAATTTTAGATGATGATAAAAACTACGTAAAGTGTTCTTTGTTTTCCTTTGAGTCTCCAGTGTAATGTTTGTGGTCTTTGACAATTATCTGTCTCTGGGTCAGTAGCTCCTTGAGTCCTGGGTTAAAATGGACATCCAGTTGGTTTCTTTTCTTAATTTCTGTTAAAGCAGAAAGTCCCGGGGCCCAGCACAGTAGCCTAGCAGTTAAAGTCGTTGCCTTGGACGCAGAAGGATCCCATATGGGTGCTGGTTCTAATCCAAGTGGCCCCACTTCCCATCCAGCTCCCTGCTTGTGGCCTGGGAAAGCAGTTGAGACGGCCCAAAGCCTTGGGACCCTGCACCCTTGTGGGAGACCCAGAAGAGGCTCCTGGCTCAGCTCCGACTGTTGCGGCCACTTGGGAGTGAATCATCAGATGGAAGATCTTCCTCTTGTCTTTCCTCCTCTCTCTATATCTGACTGCCCCATCAAAAAAAAGTAGAAAGTCCTAACTCAGAATGATTATTCCTTGATAATGGCAGCAGGTGACTGTGAAGTGTTTAGATTAAATGTAAACTCAAAAAAATTTTTCTATGAAAAATATTTTCAAGTCTATTAGGTACTATGTTGAGTATGTCACACTCAAGTTAGAACAGAACTAAATATTTCAGCTTAGAGAATGGTGTTAGATGAGTTCCTAATCTGTTGTTTGGGTTGTATTTGCTCTGTAGGTATTTCTTTGTGTTTGATGTGTTTTAAAAATATACCTGATATTGAATATCATCATTTTCTTTCTCCAGCTACTATAGAAAATAGGCCAGTGTTGGGAAAGAGTGTGAGCAAAATGACAAATTATGCCAAATCTTCAAAAACTCATTGTCTTCACTTTTAAAAACTGTGATATTTTAGCCTTAAAATGATGAATTTGGTCCCTGTAAATACTGAATATATCCACCTGGGTTTATGTTTTGATAAAACTAAGTATTTAATGTCATGAATAGGTTAATCTTATTGGTCACTTTGAAAGTTCAAGGAAATATTCTTAATTTATAACCATCTTTGAAAGATTTATAATTATCGCCTACCTTTCCTGCAACATGCTGAAAGGATGCATGCTTGGTTGAACATGTTAAGCTTATTTTAAAATGTTGTTGTTTCCTTTACTCATTCAACAGCAGAAAATATAGTCCTTTTTTTTCTTTTGCCTTTTTTTCCTCTGAAACAGTGCATGCATGTACAGCCTCTTCCCTGCCCCCACCAAGTTATGAAGATTGAATTTAGAAGATGATATAGTAAATGCATGCATTATCACCTAGTACCAGTCAGCTTAAAGTGGATGAGATTACTTCAGAAAATTAGTGGAAAGCAAAATTAAAAGAAATTCAGAGGCCTGGGGCATTGTGGCCTAATGGATTATGCTGCCTGGGATGCCAGCATCCCATGTGGTCATTGATTAGTGTCCTGGTTGCTTCGCCTCTGATCCAGCTCCCTGCTGGTGGCCTGGAAAAGCAGTGGAAGGCAACCCAAGTACTTGGGTCCTTGCCGTCCATATGAGAGACCCAGTTGAAGCTCCTGGCTTCTGGCTTAGCCTGGCTGTAAAAGGCTACCTGGAGAGTGAATCTGTGCATGGGAGGATTTTCTCTGTAACTCTAAGTTTCAAATAAATAAATTTTATAACTCCTTATGTTGCAAACAGATTTGAAATTTGTGCACTTTTTTCGTCATACATTTTCATGAACTTTTGTAGATCCTTCATGTTTATGGATATAGGATTTTTTGCATCAAAATAGAATTTAATTCTGTTTCTCCATGAGTGTTTTAAAATAATTCTTGAAAAGATTTATTTTTGGGCCTGGTATGGTAGCCTGGTGGCTAAAGTCCTCGCCTTGCACATGCCGAAATCCCATATGGGCGCCGGTTCTAATCCCAGTGACCCTGCTTCCCATCCAGCTCCCTGCTTGTGGCCTGGGAAAGCCGCAGAGGATGGCCCAAAGCTTTGGGCCCCTGCACCCATGTGGGAGACCCAGAATAAGCTCCTGGCTCCTGATTTCAAATTTGCTTAGCTCAGGCCTGTTGCAACTACTTGGGAAGTGAACCACTGAACAGAAGATCTTTGTTTCTCTTCTGTATATCTGGCTTTCCAATAAAAATAAATTTTTTAGAAAAAAAGTGAGGGACAGACAGAGATCTTCCATCTGCTGGGTCATTCTTCAGGTGGTTACAATGGCCTGGGCTTAGCTGAACCAAAAAGTTTCATTGAATCTCCTACATGGGTGGCAGGGCCAAGTAATTGGGTTTTCTTCTGCTCTTCCAGGACACTAGTAATAGGGAGGAATTGGATCAAAAGTGGAGTACTTGGGTTCAAACTGGCACCAACACCTACAGGTTTTGATATGTTGTATATTCATTTGCTTCAAGAAATTTTTAAAATTTTTATTTTAACATTTTGCAGTGATCCATTGGTTATATAATAGCATGTTGTTCAATTTTAGTGTATTTGTAAAGTTTGTATCCTTGTTGTTTTCTAGTTTTTTATACCTTTGCTGTCCGACAAGATACATGTCATAATTTCAATTTTTAAACATTTACTGAAACGTTATTTGTAGTCCATTATCCTAGAATATGTCCAGGTGCTGAGGAGAGGACTGTGTGTTCTGTAGTTCTTGGGTAAAAATGCTTTGATTTCGATGTGGCTTTGTTATTTTTTCCTCTGTGTGATCTGTTAATTGAGGACAATGGGGTGTTGAAATTCCCTACTATTATGGTCTTAGTGTCTATCTCTCCCTTTAGGACTAATAGTTTGCTTTGTATTTCTGGCTGGTCTTGTGTTAGGTGCACTTATTTTATGATATATCTTCTGATATGAAACTTCAGGATTTCTTATGAAGTTGATCTGATGGTAATGATTTTTCCTGGTTTTGTTTATCTGGTATGTACCTTAACTCTCCTTCATTTCTAAAGAGTGTCTTCACTGGCTATAATATTCTCAATTGGAAATTTTATTCTTTCATGGCCTTGAATATATCATCCCACTCTTTGTGGGCCTGTAGCATTTCTCATGAGACGTCTGCTGTTAGTCTAATTGGCTTTCTTTTATATGTGATTTAACATTTTTCTCTTGATATCTTTAGGATTTTTTCTTTGTCCTTAACCTTTGCCAATATTTTGTTGAGTCTGCTTAGGGTGCTTTGAGGTTCCTGTATCCGGATGTCCGTATCTCTTTCAAGATTTGAAAAGTTTTCAGCTATCATTCCTTTCTGTAGTTCTCAGTGCCTTTCCCCTTCAGTATCCCTATTATACAAATAGTTGCTTATTGACATCCTATGTGTCTCATAGGCTCTATTCACTCTTGAATTATTTTCTGTTTGTTTTTGTCTGACTGGGTTATTTCAGAAGTCTTATCTTCGTAGCAAGAAAGCTGAGGGTTCCGTCCATTAGTCCTTGGTGAATTCTTCACACCTGAGGGCTTGCCTGGGCTCTCTCCATTCTTGGATGTGTGTCTGTGCACTTCTTTGCCATTGTATTCCCCTTTCCTTTTCGGACAGCACATGGCTTTAGTCAGTTGTTGGGTTTCCCAGGCTGATCGTTTTGGTGTTTTTTCTTTTACTTTTCCCATTTTTTGTTTTCAGGGTGATAGTAATGTCTTCTGTCTATCTGGAATGATGACCATGCTTAATCCATTGCTTGGCATTTGGTAATTGTTAACTTATGCAGATTCTGAATGTTATTATCATTGGTTCTGTTTATGTTTTTTTTTAAGATTTATTTATTTTTATTACAAAGTCAGATATACAGAGAAGAGGAGAAACAGAGAGGAATATCTTCCGTCTAATGATTCACTCCCCAAGTGACAGCAATGGCTGGTGCTGCACCAATCCGAAGCTGGGAACCAGGAACCTCTTCTGGGTCTCCCACCTGCCAGTGCAGGGTCCGAAAGCTTTGGGCCATCCTTGACTGCTTTCCCAGGTCATAAGCAGGGAGCTGGATGGGAAGTGGAGCTGCCGGGATTAGAACCTGCGCCCATATGGGATCCCGGTGAGTTCAAGGCGAAGACTTTAGCCACTAGGCCACATCACCAGGTTCTCTGTTTATGTTTTACTTTCTGAGAAATTTAAGCCAATTTTTTTTTGTTCATGGAAAATGGACATTTATTTATAGAATAAGTACGCAAAAAAAGATGACATTTCAAAATCTCATTTTTAAAAAAGGTTTTGCGCTCTTTTCCAAAGTTAGAGAAAAGTATGCACCAGCAGTTCCTTTAGAAATCAAACATGGTGTTTAAATACGATTTTTATTTGACATGCTCACATTCATGCTCTTGAGAGACCCCTGGTTGGTATTCTCTCCTTATTCTTGGAGATTGTGGACATTGTCTTTACATAGTCATTAACCTACATTAAGTAACTAGTGGTAGAAGCTAACCTTGTTTTCTTCATGGTCCTGGAGGTACCCTGTTCAGTAAGAGTAAGTCCTCCAGCCCTGTCCTGCCTAGAGTGGCATAGACCATCATGTGACAAGAGAGAGAGTGTGTGCTTGTCTGCCCACACCTTTGTC